AGCCATATCTCCCGAATTAATAGTCCGATTTTGTCGAAAATTTTCAGAAACGTTTCCACCTAACACACAAATCACCCTGCAAAATTTTGGAAATTTTCGACAAAAGGCACGGAAGTTATTAAGTTTCAAAGTGGGATATTTTTTGACCGATCGCCATACTTTCCCTCTTTACAGAACAAAGAGAATAAAAATTCATGTTTTGTTTGTAGTTCAAGATGAATTTCCAGAGTTATTATTATATCGTAATATATTATTTAGTGTAGGCTATGATATAGTTACGTTTAGTTTAATTTAGCCTTTGTTCTAAGCATCATAAATACGACATGGAGAGCAGGAAATCTTTTTAATCTTTCATATTTTTAGAGGCGCATAAAAAGTAACGACTCTTTTTTTTCCATCCTAAATTAATTTTATAATCGTACAGAATGAATTTTTGTCACCATTAACTGTACGAACCGTATTCTGTATTCTATCATAAAAGTATGCATTAACGGTAAAATTAATGAACTATTAGTCAATAGGGTGCCATAGTTTAGTAACGAGTCAGAACTTTCTCTTTATTTCTTCTTTGCTGGTGCTATTATCCATCGATCACCCTAACAGTCTTTACAGTGATACTCTCCTCCTATTCTATTATTGGTACTGTATTTCTTAACTTCTCATAAACAAGTTTACCTACCTCCATAATTGAAAGTAAATGTTTTTCACCAGATGCGACTGACAATAACCATTATCCTTAAATAATAGATCAAATTAATCCTTCTTCAAACAACACAAAACACACAAAGTACCATAACAGGATTTGATAAATAATTATTCTACTATGGGACACGATCTTGTGTCGAAATCTTCGGATAAATCTACCGTGTATTAATGTATTATATCACTAGAAAAACACATAAATAAAAAATTACCTGATTACTATTTGTTCGAGTAATTTACGTGGTCTTTTACTTAATGCCCACGTAAAATCTTTGCGTAATTCTTGTTTGATAACTCTTATAAATTGTTAAAACTCCAACGAATTTTTTTTAATAGTTTATAATAAAAAAGATAGACTTTTCCGGCATATTTAATTTCTTTTCACCCCCAATAATCACTACCATTAACTATATAATTCCTGACATTCATTCGGGAGATATTAACGGGACGGGACATACCTCCCGAATTAATAGTCCGATTTTCTTGAAAATTTCTAAAAACATTACCCCCTAACATTCAAATCTCCTTGCAAAATTTCAAAAATTTTCGACAAAAGGCACAGGAGTTATTAAGCTTCAAATTGGGTGAACAAAATTGTGTCCTCTACCCACACATATAGAAAATATCCCCCAATTTTTTCCATTTCTCGACCTTTCGAGCTGTTCCGAATCCAAAAATGTAAAAATATTGGGAAGAAAGGGTATTTTTTCGACCGATAACCATACTTTCCTTCTATTATATATAAAGTAAAAACAATAAAAAAAATAATAAATAAAAAGTACACGAATGTCATCACTCTTAAAAACAAATGTAACTTTTATTCAATTTAAGTGTCGTATGTCTGCATTATTCGCCACGATGCCCTTTTATAATGCATCGATACTATAATAGCGTAGATTTTCATTATTTTCTCGTATTTCACCAACGAAAACCAAGAAAGAAATGGAATTAGAATATTATCCTTTACATATTCATTTACATTCAATTAATCGTAATATATTCGAAACATTCAATTTTCTTTAAAAAAAAAAAAAAAAAAAAGAATATTTATCCGAGGACAGTTCGATGCAAAGAGGAAAAGTCGAACCTTTCAGGATAACGATTACTTCGGTTAGATAAGGATGACAACATAATAAAGTCAGAGTGACAGCGTGACAAGTGAAAAGCAGAAAATGATCGACTTTCTAATCAAAGATAAAGGCGATTAAATTCAAAATAACCGATAAATTAATATACGAAAATTCATTTAAATCTGTTGAATCTACGAAAAAAGATTTACAACGAGAGAATCGCCTCCGTTTTGTGCAGTAAATTCTATAAAAATACACAGTTGACCCCCCTATAACACTGTTGATAATTCCGTTTTATATGAATTCCATGTTGTACGAGTCACTTAGATTTTACAAATACGTGAGCCATTCACAGCCAGGCACATGTATTTGTTAAATCTAAGTGACTCGTACAACATGGAATTCATATAAAACGGAATTATCTACAGTGTTATAGGAGGGTCAACTGTTAAATTAAATTTAAATTATTTTTTTTAGATTAATTGTAGAATAAAATAAAATCTAAAACTGTGAGTAAAAATAAGGGAAATCGGTACGTAATTTTTTACTTTAGAGAGGGTGTTTATGAAGTCTTTTTTTCAAGCTCTATTTCTTTTGAAATTTTAATTTAAACATACTTTTTATATATTTAAAATAAAGAAAAATTAATTAATTTTTATCTCTTAAAGATATCAGTTTTATTTTATTCTTTTTAATCAATGTTACTTTTTGATTTTTCTTCTTCCCATCAAAATGTGTTTGTTGTTTTCTTTGTTTTTTTCCCCTCAGGGTTGAAAAACATTCTAAAAAAACTTTTCACCAAAAATATTTTATATCTTTTCTTATATAAAAAAGTGTTTTATTTACATTATTAAATTAATAATATAAATATTTAAATTAGATATTTATTAATATCGAATTCTTCCTTGGAAGTTAAATGCATTTATCGATTATTATCCCTACTTCAAATGTCTAAATATATGTAAATAAATAATTAAAAATTAAATTAAATTATTCTTATAAACGTTTACTATTTCAGTATTTTAACGTTATTATTTTAAACATTTCTAAGTTTTAATTGGAGAATATTCAGATCTCTGTGTGTGGGGGAGGAATTCATTTACCAAATTTAAAGCTTAATAACTCCTTTGCCCTTTGTCCAAAATTTCTGAAATTTAGCAGGGAAGTTTATGTATTAGAGGGATTGACAATACTAAATTTTGGTGGCTAAAGGTCAAGAGAGTGGGAAGATAGAGGGGGGGTCGCGTGTCGTATCTCGAGTGGGGTCGGACTTAATGTAGATTTTTTTTAAAATTGTAAACAATTATTTGGATTTTTCTGCATAATTTTCTTAAAAAATATATTTTAAAATTCAAAATTATAGTTAAATCTCGAACGTGTTTATGCTATTTTAAGTACAGAGTTCTTAAGGTTTCCTATTCAAGATTAAATGCGAGAAATATTTAAAATGAAAATGAATATCCAAATTCTTTTTGGTTTTTAAAGAATTTATTATTTTCTTAGAAGTAAATCTATATTTATCTCTATATAAACTGTACCTAATTAGTAATTATCAGCACCAGGAGCATAAAGAATAAGATCACGTCGATGCTGTTAGAGATGAGGAGTCCATTCACGAATAGGATAAACGTGATCCTATTTTTAATTTTTTTTAAATCAGGGATGCTAATTAAGTTAATTTTAATTTTAATTAAATAAGAAGGAATTATATAAGTAAATTATTTAAGAGAGGAAATAATTTTTGCCTACATAAACTCGTTTATAAGCCAGTTTTTTCGATAATTTTCCTATAATATATGACATAAACAGGTTCGAATTACTCGTTTTTACGCCATAATATGTCCCTAGGTGAGAATTTACGTAAGGAATTTTAAAGAAAATACGGTTTATTTTATTTAGAAGCAGACAATGACTTTATTAACGAAGAGTACTCATTTGCTACTCTTCAAGAACACGATTTTTATAAGTCCATAACTAAATATAGAAATGAAATTCCATAAAATGATTCCCTATTCAATACAAAATCAATAAATTCAAAGCTTATTTTAAATATAAATTATTACATTTGAATTAAAAAAGAAAAAAAAACAAGTTTTAAGACAGACGTGTATAGACTACAGTAATTGAGAGAGAGAAGACAAAATGCAAATTTGTCTGTCTGGTTGTCTGACTTTCGTACTTAGCCAAATCACGAGTTACAAAGCGTAACTCATGCTTTTCACAACATACGGGGTGGACCAAAAGTCGGTTACCTTTTCGAGTATTCCAGATACACTTAATTCCTTCCTGATTAACTGACTTATGGGCCACCCCGTACGTAATTAACCTAACGATTGAAAGATAAAGAAAGTAAATAAATAAATTACTTTCGTATATTGTAATTACAACAAACGTAATTAAAAAAATATGTATATTTGATTTATGATTTACCAGAGAAATTAGTAAACAAAGATTTCTTTTAAGTGATTTTATTTTTCCTGTTTTCAATTTAGAATTAATGGAGAAAGTATTGGAAAATGGAAAGTATATTTAGGATACAATTGAAAGCGATGATATTTATCAATATTTACAATCATTCATTACCGATTGACTTCTTTCCTATCGATTTTGAAATCTCTCAACTTCAATATATTAATTTCGTCTAATCATTGCATAATATAATAAATAATACTGGATATACATAAATCAATTAGATGTTATCTCCTCTCTGATTGGTTGTAAAGAGTAGAGAAAGGAATGAAATAAAATTCACACGCGACTTCCACCGAAAACACCACTTACACTACACCAAAAAAAAATATTCAGTGCACTGATTTAATTTTAAAAAAATATATTAAAATAAATATTAAATATTCATTTAATTTTAATTTATTTAAACTTATAAATAAAATAAACATAATATTTATTAATATTAAAATGTTTTCTTTGTTAAAAAACAATTATCGAAATTGTCTAATAATAAAATTAATATTAAATTATCACTTATTCCTTAATCAAAATTAATAAATAATAATCTTTTTGACAGGAAGTTATATTTATTTATTTATTTTATTCGCTCAAATTATTGAATATTCTACAAAAAAAATAATAATATAAAGGAAAAGCCGAAACGTCAATAGTTTTTAGAAAAAAGTTATTGTATAATAAATTAATATCAATAAATTATTTAAATGATTAATTAAGAAAGACTTAATTAATTTTTATGTGTCACGTAATTAATCCACTTACTTGATAAACCAGAAGTAAAGCAATAAACGATCGGAAACAGATCCTGTCGACGGTACTGTGACGTTCGCTTGTGGCACACAACAGACCACAAACGTCACCATAAATGAAAGGATGTCTTTCGTAAATGGCCAATAGCAAACGGGAACGTCTCACTCCCTTCTCCAATAAGGGGACTACCAGTTGTGACGTCACAATTACTTCGCGCTGATTTTTTTTTTAAACGTTCCAGTGTTTTTTTTGTAATTTTATTTTATTATTATTATTTAAATAATACATTCAATGTTTTAACAATACAATTTTCTTCTATTTCTTTAATTTTATTTCTTACTTATTTGTTTAAAGAATTGAAAATAAATTTTTTTTAATAATAAATATAGGCCTAAATAAATAAATAACAAAATATTTTATATATAATAAGAGAAAATATTTAATGTATTATGATATTAAAGCATATTATTTGCTACATTTATGAGTATAATCTTATTAATTGAATTTTAAAGTGTTTTTTTTTAAATTTATTACTAAAAACACTCAAAATTTTGATTAAAAACGTGTTTTATCGATTTTAATTAAATCATTCATCAATTAGATTTGGGCTTTTTTGGGGTGGGAATGCAAGCGAATGATTCTTTTATATTGTAAAAAGTCAAGCAACGAGTTGCCTAACTTTCCAGGCAAAAAGTTGAAGAAAAATGAGTTAATATAAAGAAGTTATGGGTCCTTTTAACATTAAAAAATCACTAAATATTTAATTATTAGGCCGTTAAAAATGAATTTTTCTTTAATAAATCTAATGATTAAACTGCGAATCATCTCATTTAATCAAAGTTTTACGATTGTTTTCGACTTTTAAAATAATGTCAAAATAAAGTAAAGTGACCAAACATCATTTTAATTTTAGATACAATTAAATGAATTTAATTAGATTAAAATCTTTCGTGATTAAATTCGCTTTTATGAGGATTAAAATCCATTTACATTATATTTATATATACACATACTCAATTAAATTTAATATTTTACGTATTGTTTTTTATGAATATATTTGATTAATTATACTTTAATAATTTCTCTGGTAAATTAATCAAATCCCTTTTTAATAAAAATCTTTTATTAACAAATATAATTAAATTTTATATACGAAATTAAAAATTTAATTATTTATAAAAATAATAAATTAATGCTACCAATGAATTATTTATTAAGTATATAAAAGGATAACTTTACATACACGAGTGGAAATTAGAGGAGGAAAAGTGGTACGTTGATGATGATGATGTGTTACACTTTAGGAATGGAGAAAATTATAATAATAATTATTTTTTAATAACAGAATGTAGACCTAAATTACAACTTTAAAGTTAATTTTAATTTGCTAATACTCCGGATAGATGAGTTAGCATCACATTCCTCTTGCGCTTCTTTACCTTTTCTAACACATCATCTTACTCTATCTTCCTCTTAAATCATCTTATAGGTAATATTATTTTCTTATAGATATAAAAGTTGTATTCTCAATCATCAGAAACATTTCGTAAACACAAAACATGTTATTTATAGAATGGATGTTTTTTATGTATTTATATATAAACAATGTAAAAAATTATGTTTATAAAAAGAAAATCTACATCATATTAAATGCTTTAACATTATAAATTTATAGAATCGAAAATTTTCTTAAAATAAAATTAATTATGTTGTTAAAGTAATGAATAATAAATAATAACAATAATGTAAAAAAAGGAGCATAATTAAAACTGTCTGTCAAATCGTAATCTCTTTTAATTGCTTGCAGAAAATGGCAGAAAAAGAGAAAAAAATATCTAGAAAATAAGGATTTATAAAGCGCTAATTACAAAATAAAAACAATTAATCTGTCTTACTTTTACACAAATTTCTTTTTAGATTACTCATTAATTTAATTATAAAAATTTCAAATATATTAAGCTGGAATTTATGCATTTGAGATACTTGTAAGTGTATTAAGCACGTCATATACATCACGAATATTAATATATTTTGTATATAAAAATTCAGATTTTCAATATCATTCTACGATAGAAGAGTATCTTTGATGTGTCACCAGCTCTTAAAGGTCGAGAATCATTGCGTTAAGGGGTGGTTTCTTATTGGTTTCTATACAAATAATACGCTGTTTGTATACGAGGAAAATGAATTACCAGTACCTGTAAGGCCTAAGCATTATTATAGTATAACGAATATCGGTAATTCATTATCCTTTGATAACTTGATGAATTAAATCGTTAGAAAGTATTGTCTAGTTACAGATTACGCAGATTACTCACACCACAGGATTTATGTTCGGCTTCATACATCAATAATAAATTGGAGGAGCCGCAACCCGTGTCAGTTATAAGATTTCTTTCTAAAATTCTTACCGAAATATTGATTGAATAATGTATTAGCAACACAGAAACCATTAATATAAGTAGTAGTGGCGTAACTAGTATCACAGATAACCCCCCTTCCCCATCAAACTAACGATTACTTTAAGTAACTGAGGTATAGAGTGACACTTAAAATAATTATGATTCTTACAACATACGACAGATTATCATAATAGCAACAATTGAAGGATATTCTTTTGTAATTTTTGTAATATTGTAAGATCTCTTTCGTGATGAGTTTAGTGCGTGCTGTTACAACTTTTGCGTGCAGTAAATTGGAACTATATCATTTCTAAGTTGGATGTAACGGAGTAAAAAATATTATAACACTTGATAGATCATGTTTACAGACGAAATTTCTACTTTTTCTCTCGATAAAAGCAATGATTTTTTCTTACTTTTATCTTTTTTGCATTGTACTTTTCGATGTAAATAGCTTAATAAATTAGTTTAAAAATGATTATTTCTTGACGGGTTATTTGTTTTGTAGAAAAAAGTTTCGAAAATTATCCAAGAAAATTTGATTTTTTGTCAAAATTATTACGTAAGTCCTTCGACTATCGTTCTTGTAAGCACTCGCTCGACACATCTCTATAATTACTTTTCCTTGATAAAATAAAGCAAAATAAAATATATNAAAAGATAATAATTTTTTTGTGTATTTTATTGGAGGAAGTTTATTCCATTTTAATGATATTTATAATTGTTTTTAATTATTGTTACATGTAAATGAGTTCTCCCCTAAACTGTCCATCAATTTTACTAGTTTCTAGGAAATTTTGCGGACCGACATACGAACGGACAAAACATAAAATATCTAAACACTTTAAATGACAATTTAACTTGGATTTATCAACAGATTTATTGTTTTAAATGTTTTTTAATTCAAAAAACTTGCTGAAAAGCGATAAAATTAATCGTGTTTATCCTTTTATAATTGTCAATAAAGACGAAAAATTCTACATAATTTTAATTATATTTATAAAGAATTCGTTAATACATAAAAGATTGTCATACGTATAAATTGCTTAACTAATAATTGCTTAATTAAACTTAATTACCGACACGTGGCTAAAAATTGTTTCTCTTTAATTAAGTTAATATTGTTGTTGTTGTTACTGTTGTATATATTTATATGTTAAAGTTTTAAATTAAATAGATTTATTCCTTCTGAAAGTTTTATAGCTAAATATATAGTTTAGAAACGTCGTTTGCTAGCTTCGTATAATTACTATCAAAGCTGTTAAAACTGCCAATAACTCATTTCCAACCCTAGACTATATCACTAACAGTTCTTTTGTTATCTTCATCTAGTAAAAGTCAGTTGATACAGCAACTATAATTACATTCGCAAACTATAACAACCAAATTTATAGTATTATAACTCGTAAACATTAAAATCTAATTTTATTTTTACGATATTTTCAAACTCAATCATATTTTTTTCTTATTTATCCTTTATATAGATGAGCCTCCCTCTATAAAATCCCTTCAGAGAAATCTCTTTAATCAGCATCCTCTAACAAAGAATTGGGATAAAGGATAATGGATAATGCTCTTCTTTATCTCAATTTTTCATTAGAGGATGCTAATTAATCTTCTTAAGCTTTTAAAGATGAGGATGAGGATTACTTCTCATCCTAATTATATAAGCTCTTTCTTATCTTCAATCAGTTCTATTCGAATATAAAGTATACCATTTTTTTTTTCATGAATTTGAAATTTTAAATTGAAAATTCGACTATAATATTCGAGAAATTGTTAGAAAAGTTTTTAAAATGAACTTTTATACTAAAAATATTAATTATATTTCGAAGTTAGCAGGGACTTGGAATTAATTTACCTCGAAATCCAGTAGATAAAATGATTGAAGTGTGATTTCTGCTCGATTCTTATAGCTGGAGGGATGTTGAAATAACCGAATCAACTAAAGTATCCCTAGAGAAATGGATAAAAATACGTTAATCTTAACTCAGTCGATGAGAATCTCATGAGGAAAATCAATTGTAAAAATCCAATTTTTGTTCTTTATCCTGAATTTACCTCAAGTTAAATTATTTACTAATATAGAAATATAACTTTTATCAATATCTTTAAAGTATTACATATGTAAAGAGTTTGTTCATTTCTGTATATTTTATATTTGCATTATAAATCCACAAAGAAGAAATTACAACATCTATTCTTACTTGTGTAAGTCTCCATTAATGAAGTCTCGATGGTAACCATGGATGCTGTAGTCAAGACAACTGAAGTAATAAGGAAAAGGCTCTCGATTCTATTCTATTCCATAATATTACACAGTATAAAGGAATCTATAGATAAATACTTATCTTGAAGAAAGTTATTACACCTTATTATATCGCTAATATAAGGTAATATCTTCAGTAGGCTCGTGTTTAGAGTACTGAAAATTTGTGAAAAATTCAAAATTTCTTATCCTAATTTCGTTAAATTTGAAGGAAGAGGTAACAAGGAGGCCTCTTGGTACTCTCGAGAGGGAAAGTTTAATATTACCATCAATTGAGGCCTCTCTTATACACTTTACTGTGAGCATACTTGTACACTGGATGAATTAACTGTTTATACAATGATACAAAATAAATATTTAAAAAAAATATTAATTTTTTCGAAAATTTAAATGATTATTTACTTACTTTTTTTAAATAAATTTTAATGAATTTTCTAAATCATTAAATGGTAAATCAATATTCACAATGCAATGAATTGGTATGAATAATCATTCCCTGATCAAATATATTTCTAAAATTCTTTAAATGAATTCGCTGTTGGAGTTTTAATTAAGAACATATTTTTGTTATC